TAAAGTAGTTCCCTTTTGCAACCACATAAAACAGTGCAGTTGTTTATATGCATTACACACACACACACTCTCAATAGATGATTATCTGATGGTCCTGTGAGGCAAAGCAGATGTTTTTAGCCAGATCATGTCCTATTGACACACAAACGTGCTGCTTCACTGAGCGAGCGCGCGAGCGCGCGCGCGCGCGCACACACACACACACACACACAGAGACAAAGACACCACTTCTGCTATATTGTTGTTTAACCCCTTTGTCAGGTTAAGAGGCTTTTTTTGATTGAGCCAAGCTTGACTTGTCACCCCTCAATAATCTCTCTACTCTACAGCCCCATCACCCTCTGTGTGATATTTTCCTCTGGTTTCACCAGATCAACCCTGGACTTTTCCCCGGTTCATGACGAGCGGCAGGTGGAGGATGGGTGCTCCTTCAGCGTACCCCCCCCCATCCCACCTCCCACTGTCCTGCCCCGAGCTCGGGAGCTTTTGTGTTAGCTTGAGGAAGTGTATTGTGTGCCCATCTGCCCCCCTCTCATCTCCCTCTTTCTCCATAACCTTCACTGTTTACTGTCAAAGGGCCAACAGCAGATGGGGGGGCTATGCAGTCACACAAACACCAGCAGAGAGGTGACGAGGGGTGGGGGGGGGGTTGTTATGTATGTATACAATTGCGCATGTTAAGAAGACGGCGTAAAGTCATTGTTTGTGGAGGGAAGTCTGCTATAATTAGATGGGCTAATGTTAGTTTCCACGCATGATTCTTGTTTCCAGGTCATGTATCTGTCTTTTAGTTCCTCTTGACAGTTAGACACCAGAGTAACGATTATGTAGACTCTCAAGACTGCCCCGCACTTAGTCCAAAACAGACATTACATACTATTATTTATTATAAAGTGATGTAGACAGTGTTTCAGTTGGTGCGAAGTCAAAGAAATCAAATGTGCAATATGATAATTGAAAGGTGAGTTCATCTGGCTGCCTGCGCTCACATGGAGCCGATGTGTTGCTGTTGACTTTGTTGGGATTCCTATAAGGTAGTGGAGGTAACGAGACAACATATTTATTTAATTTAAAATAAGGCTTTGGATTCTCATTTTTTTTAGATTCATCAGGGTTTTGAATGTTCGACATTGTGCTCGTATCAGATTTTTAAGAGTATGTTCACGCTGCATGACATCTGTAGTTTTGAGTGCAAAACCAGATGAGGTGTAGTACGTTGGTGTAGTGGCCACACCAACGTACTACACCTCTGGCAATAGACGCCATCGAGCTATTTGTACAGCAATATAACTATTTTAGAATTTTTAAATATATTATTGCAGGAAATGCTGCTGTTCATTCCTTCAGTTAAAACTTTTATAAATCATTTTATATTGTAGCGGAAGTAGATCTGCGTCCCAGTAGTCACATTTACAATACCACATGATTTTGTGGCACAGTTTTGTCATTTGAATTTATGTCGATGCATTATAGAGGGCGAAAGTGTCGAAGGATCACAGTGCAACGATTCTGTCCTGTGCCTGATGTTTTGTGTGTCTGTTTGGGCGTTTTTCACTCTGCTGTGACGCAGAAAGTCAGAGCCCCACTTGTTTGTTCTATCCCAAAGGGTGGTTGAGCTGTGTTCACTGTTGAGATAAAGCAGAGAGTAGAGCACACTACGCCATACCAACTCCTCCTGGTAACAGCCGCTCACCCCTCAAACCTTTGCTTCAACAATTCATCTTTTTTTTTTTTAAGATGCCAATACAGACAAACTTGAGTTTTGATTTGAATATAAGTAACGGTAACGTTATAGGTTATAAGTCAAAACTGCATGTTATCTCTTGTCTTTGATGTCTTTTCTGACATTTTATATGTTGCAGTTATTCATGGCCTTCCCCTACAGACATATTTACAAGCAAAGACATGAAGTCACATGAGGAGGGTTCTCCGTTTCACTTTGCAGTGTTGCAAACAAACTAAAAATTAATGATCACAAACCAACATGGATGTTATCAAAAGGACAATATGAATTCGGTGGCTTTTTCAATAAAAAGACTGCCGTTCATCAGCTGACTGTCGGGACTGCTCAGCTGTCAGCTCATGCAACACTTAAACAAACTCCTGCACAGCAAAAAAAAGTCAGCAATCACAGAGCTGCCTGCAGGGAACTCTTCTGACTAAAAACCTGGTATACTACAGCAACACACAAACAATGAATTGACCCTTTAGTTGCCGGTTTATAAAGCATATTAAACTTAGCTAGACTTGTCACGAGCCTGACCTCCACACTGTTATGAGACGAGGCTAGGAAAGTGAGGCCTTCGAGATCTGATTCACTTGTAAAGGAATAATTGCAATAAAACATGGGATTTGGGTCCAAACCACAAACTTCCCCATTTTATTTTAATGTATTGAAAATATAGTAAGTTTATGGCAGATGCATCTAAAGTCTTTTTAGGTCTAGGGGTGGGGGACGGGGGATGTTATGGGGTGGATAAAAAGTAATTGGTATGTGCCACAAAGACGTGGGAGCCAATACATCGTCTGAAGACCTGAAGATTAATTTGAGATGCAGCTCAGCACTGTGTGTGAAGTCCTTCTAGTTATAAATCAAAATGTATTTATTTATTGTGAAAGTGTACAATGATTGACATTCCCATGCTCACTTTATTTGTTGCACAGATTTAGAATACCATAGAAAAAGTCATGCTGTGATTGGATGGGCATTTCTGTAAGAATTGCATTTTTTTGGTGATTGGATGACGACTTTCTGTTCTGGAAAGTGCTCAAAAATCCCCTAATTGACAACATACCTTGGCTGAACGCCCTGTGTCTGTAGTTTGTGGTTGTAGAGTTTCTTTCGGCTATAAATGAAAGTGCTCACAAAAGGTCATTTTTTACGTGCACAAAAGTTTCAATATTGGATTTATGTTCTAGTTTAATTCAGAAACATAATAACCGTCTTGTTGGCTTGTTTGAATTGAAACAGTGCATAAACACAACTGAGTGTTTTATAGCATTGTCTGACCTTGTGGTTTCAGCTAAGCTGGGTTTAGTTCACACACTTTTGGTTAATCAACCACAGCTTTGCCCATCCTCTCGCTGTGCCTTCAGCTCTCCGACACTGAACGAATACAATCAGTGTCTTTTATCTCTAATTGTTATATTAGGGGAAGCAATGCTCCCAAAAGTAAGGTGCTATGGGAGACATATTTCTGATACTGCTAATTTTCAGCTTGACAGTAACCAGGTTATCACTATGTATTGTCTGATTTCCTGTGTAACCTGGTTTATGTGAGTAACCTGGTTTCTAATGTTTGTGTAAACACACTGACGGTTTTGTGTGCCAGACAGCAAACTGGCTTCTCTGGCTCCCCGAGCACTCACTGGCTGCTGGAACGAAGCCCACTGCTGTGTTGTGACTGTGGGCAGTGTTGGAATGTAATGCAGCACAAGATAGACAGACGATGGTTCATTGTCTGAGCTACAAGGCTGAACTCTTTACATCGACTGACGAGGATATTTTAGGGTTTTACTTGTGGTATCGTATAGTTAAATCTATCAACAAATGCTAGCACTTACTGTCTCCGCCAGGAGGATTATGTGTGCGCCTCTGTCTGTCCACGGCTAATCTTGCATTCTCGCAGAAAACTGGCAGAGATCTGCAGTGCTCCCTTCTAGTTTAACATTAAATTGCCTCTTCTTCACAACTTATACTTTGAGCAGCTATACTGAAAAGTCATCCCTATCCTTATTGAATCTTTTATGATCTCCTTTACCGAAAGTAGTCCCAAAACTATAGAAAATTGCATTTTTATGTCGTCTGGATGTAAAATAGAAGTTCAAAAGTTCAGGCCTATATTTGACTGAAAGTCGTTTTACAGTAAAGGATGCAGAGAGTTTCCTGTGATGGTGTCTGTGGCCTTATTTATCATAATATATGACCCTGTGCAGAGTAAAAACTCACACTTAGTAATACTGAATGCTTTCTTTGATGAACATGAGCATTATTGTGTATCCTAGTGTTACCTCGGCTGTGTCTTTGCTAGAAGTGAAGGATTGTTGTAATTATGTGTGACTCTGACCACAGATTCTTTTCTTTCAGTTATGAGCATTGTTTCCTCATTCCGTTTTGTCTCATGAAATAAAAGGGAAAACTGTCTGGTTTCCCTTTTGTAGGCAGCATTCCAAGAAAGTGCATCTCAACATGCTTCACTAAAAAAAGAAAAGAAAACATGAAGTACAACAAATACGGGTTATGATAAGAAGAACTTGTACATTCAATTATCATACCTCTTACTTAGAATAAAGAAATTGTCTTTCCTGAAATCATGTCTAACAGAAATAACAACGGTGAGAATTAATATCATGACCAAGCCTGTCCACTATGGTGGACAGCCAGCATAACAATACACCCACTGACCCACACAAAATTGCAAGCGGTGCAATACTGAATTTCATGTCACCTGTCCCCTTGAGTGCCCTTGAGCAGCATGCTGGATTTCTGTTTCAGAAATATTTCTCTGCAACTAAACTCCTCCCTGGACTTTCTGGTGTAGGGTGTCGAGGATTTAACATTTTGCTGTTGGCAGCAATAAATAAATGTATTCATGACGACACAAACTTGTTTGAATTGCACGTGCTTTTGTTGAACGGTGTGTTGACATAGCGACACACACAGAGGGTGCTACACTCACACAAGACTGGATTAGAAGAAACTCCTCGACATGTTTTCAACATTCTGCCAGCTGATGGCAGCACTGTACTTCTGTCTTGTATGTTTACTGTTGATGTGATGTAATCCGTCCAGTGTGTCCGCTGTTGGTTTCATGTCACCTCGTACATACGGAATGTATTTCACACTTCATTCACCTTCTGGGGGTCAAGTTCTTTCACATTGCACATCTTTCTCTGTTTGGCAGTTAACCAGCAGTGTTAACTTGTAGTGTATTTTATAACTGTTGTTTGTATTTGATGTTTCCCGGCCTCACCCTCCTTGTCTCTGACCTTCTGTCCAGATGCTGCAGGATTGTGCCAAGGCCCGTAGGGAGGTGGAGCTGCACTGGAGGGCTTCTCCCTGTGCCAACATTGTGCGCATCATTGATGTCTTTGAGAACCTCTATCAGAGCAAGAAGTGTCTGCTTATTGTCATGGAGTGGTGAGTGCACAGTCTTGGTGTCATACACACTAACATACCCATCCTTGTGTAGTGGTGAGTAAAATCATCATTAATGTCTTTTGAGTGCATTTTAGCAGATAATAATAATAATAATTAATGGTCATAGAGATGCACTGATGCCAACACTGGCTCAAACAGCTGGATTGGATGTCGGGGACAATAGCCCCATCTGGTATTCGATACCACTATTTTGATAAAGAACAAGTCAGAACATTTATATCTATGTATTTATTTGTTACATTGTTTTCTACAAAGTTAGGAAAGCAATGTTTCACACAGTAAAGAATGATCCCGGTCACTTTCACACAGTGAGGCATAAAGCTTGTTCATGAAACACTGGTATCGGAGTCGGAGGACTACAATGCATTTATAAAACCATTACCGATGCATCATAATTAAAAAAACAGATGAATTTACTTTCATTCTCTTTTATTAATTCAATATTAGGAACAACTGGAGGGTTGCATTTCCCCAGCATTCCTAAGAGAACCAACAGGAAAATAAATACAACTGTGCCTTTAACAACACAAGACTTCTGCGTGTTCTTAATCACTCGACATAAAAAGCTGCCCCCATCCACAAATAAATAATATAGACTTCTCTTCAACTAATCCTGTGTAATGAGCGTTCTGTACCAGCTCTCATACGAAATGCTTCCTCTGAAACATGTGGTGAAACTATACATGCAGGGACACTATAATCTGTGGTTACTTCTATCCTACGCAGCTTCTACAGTTGTTTCATGGCTTTAGCTTTGGTTTTGTTGTACAGTTTGAGCATTGTTGTTTCTGCAAAAACATCAAGATGGAACGCCGTGTCTCGGTTCCAAAGTGTGCAACATAACGCAAAAGCCCTGATTCTCAACGACTGAGTTGGATGTTAAGAAGAGGCCAAATGCTTCCATAAGCTAGCTTTAGAGGCAGGGGGGGGGGGGGGGGGCCGGTCGGGTTGTGTACATATTGGGCTGCTCGAGCTCAGCCGCCTTCACCAAGTCTCCGCTCGTATTTAGCCAAGTTTAGAACGTAAACATGACGCACATGTTTGTTTGAGTCTATTGCGTTCAGGGGCAGGAACGGACCGCCTGGTGTCTCATAGCTGTTACAGGCGATCATACTGCTGAGAATTGAGTTTTAAATTTCCGATTGAGTTTTCTGCATCGACACATAATCTTTCATGAGAGAATCACGATGCATCTAAGGATTGATCGGAGTGGGTAGTGGGTAGTGGGTGGGACCTCGGACCCTTTAGGGGCACCTGGGGAAGAACATTTTGGTCGAATGTAACTAAGTACATTTAGACACACAGCGCTGGTATAATATAACAGCTTTATAGTTATATGATTTAATTGGGACAATGTTTCCCCAAAAAATGTACAAGCATCATTTTGATTAAAATATTTCATTCGGTACAGATTCAGCTTGTTTTGCAAAAACTGTACATTCCATCAAATATTCTGGGTGTTGGTTGAATTTCCATCTAAAATTGCAGTTTCCAGACTTGGGAAGGCATGTTCAACAGAGCCTGAGCGTCTCACCTTTATCAATCGATCTAAGCACATTTTAGCCAGGTCAATTATTGTAAATCTGTATGATCTTAGTAGTAAATGGCCCATTTCTTCTAAATGAGCACGGGACCTTTTTCCTTGCCTTTGTATTTCCATCTTGCAGCACTTTCAAACCTCCAAACCCCCATCAACTTTTCACACGTGCAATAATTAGGTCTGTGGTTACTCTCCAGTGCGGATGTAGTGGTCCCGTCTTCCACTCACATGCTAAGATGCTGCAGGTGATGACTAATTTCACTGAAGACACGATCAGCATGAAACGGCAATAAAGAAAAGTAGTTCTTCTGATGAAACTCCAATATTTCCTCGAATATTACACACACGAGTCTTGTGAGATCGAGCTGCTCAGTCTGCTCGCCTTCTGACGCTGCAGCAATTGAGTATTCTTGAGTATCTTCCCATGTTGTGTAAAGGGTCACTATGTCAAATCATCTTTGAGCATTTAGGAAATTCAGTGATGGTCCTTCATTGCGATGGATGTGGGCATTTTATGTAATTGCCAATCATATACACACCATCCATGGAGACTCAAATACTCAATAGCTCACCACATCTGTAGCAGAAAGTAGTCCCCAACAAATACAACATTCACTCTTGTTGTTCTTTAAAGAAAGTATATTTTATGACCTGTTTTTCAAGATGTATGTCTTCAAACGGGCTTGGGTGTGAGAGTCACACACAGGCATGGAAAGTCAAAGTGTTGAGAGAAGTTGTGCTGTTTTTGGAAAGAACAAAAAAAACAAAAAAAAAAACAGCTGATGATATCGATATCAGCGATTACATCTCTTTGTCACCACTGGCATGGCATCTTCACACCGTCCGTAAGATGTGAAGACTGCAGACTGAAACTGTGTAAGGGTGTAACAGGGTTTCTGCTGTGATGGTGTAAGATGTGCACTCTTAGTTCTTTGTAAATACAATACGTATCTGTTCTGCAGAAAAGTCACACTTCCCCTGTAGACATTTTCAGAAGCACAGGGTGAGGTCGTCAGATCTCAAGTTCATCTCTACCTTTTGACCACACAATGAAGAAAGAAAGTTCAGACCGGTGTGAACGTTCGCCTCACTGCTGGAGGTCTCTCGCGTTGAATCTTTTCGATATCTAAATACGATAGATGGAGACGAGATACTGTCGGTTTGTCAGCATGCAGAACGTGAACGTGAGTGATCGATTTTGAGAATGAAGAAGTGCGTTGTGGTTTAGCAGGGCTGCACCACGTCTCTGAGTCTGCCGGTCCTGCTCTCCTGTTAACGCATGCATGCCTGGATCATCTGAAACTCTCACAGTCATACTGAAAAAAATGATTAAATTAAACCTATCATCAAGTGCATAGAGTTCGATTTCTCACACTCGTGCCTCGTAGTTATTAGTCTTGAAAGTGTTTTTTTTGTTGAGACGGTAGGCTTTGTTAAACATTACAACAATGCACCTTGAACTAGCATGAACCGGAGCACATTTGCATGTTTAAGACCATGACTCCCTGCTCTGTACTATAGAGACGATAGCTGTGCTCCCGACCAATCACTAGGGCAGGGGTAGTCCATTATAGTTCAAAGAGATTCCTGCATCCATTAAATAACAACATTAATTTCCATATCATTTCAAAAATATGTATTGTTCATTTTCAAAGTAGGATACTTTAGCGGTAGCTTTCTTTACCATGAATACAATCAGTGCTAGCAGAATACACTTACGGCCTAACAGTTACATTTCAAATACAAGAAACAAGACGGAATCCTCTGAATACAATATAGTAGAATAAAAAGTGCAAACACAGCTTTGAGAGGCCCCTTTTCTCTTTTATTTATATATATTTAATATATATATATATATATACACGGATATTGCTTTTCTTATCAAAACAATAATTTAGACCAACCTGTCCTAAATAAATGTCTTTAGTATTGAACAGACCGGTACAAAGGTACATGTATTAAATGTTTTTAAGAAAATGTAAAAATAAATCTCCCACCAAAGTAAATGATGACGAGGTGATCAGATGGCAAATGACTGTACAGCTTTGGAAATTATTGTTTTACTGCTTCCTCTTCAACATTTGTAGAATTGTGCTTTCCATGTTCTATCATTTCCAAAACACATTGACGTCGACGCCCTCTATGCGTGTCTCTCCCCACACACACACACACACACACACACACACACACACACACACACACACACACAACATATCGTGACAAGTCCTGAAAGTTGCTCACATCTAATCTCATCTGATTTCCTGTGCTCAAATGATTTATCGTCATTCGTCATCACTTTATCTAACACTTATTTTGGGCTGGATTTGATGTACTGATGAATATTGCAAAATTGTGAAAAAATGGCACGTCTGCCTCAGCTGACACTGTGAAATGTTGAGCTCCTGTGCACCCGTTTCACAGGTCACTGGTTGATTCTAATGCCGTGTTGGTCATTCATAGACTAAAGGTGTGAACTGCACCTGCTCCTGCAAAAGGTGTGAAGAAGTGATTCAGCTGGTTTCATATAGTGTGATCGCCTGCGCTGGTCAACCGACAGACCACAGACCACTTCTACCACCAGACCAGTCAGAGGAAAAGTGAATCGAATCAGATTGGGCTATGTTTCATACAGCCATCCCACAATTATGATAGATCATATACATCATGATACGCAGTTATTTTGGCCTCAATCGTGACTTGCGTGACTTGTAATTGAATCATTGAGGATTAGGATGGCAAATTTAGAAATATTTTTTTTATTTTTTTAGCCTTTCTCTGCTTATTTTAGTTCACTACTTGAGAAATAATGCTGAATAATGCCCCCCCCCCCCCCCATGACTGTAGAGCACTCATGATGACCTCTCATGGGACCAGACGTGATTCAGGATCCGTCGATGCAAAGGTGTGCTTGTTGGCTCTGGTTGAACCATTGAGACCTATTCAACTTTTAGGATTTCATGTGAACCGAGGTTGAGGTTAGAGATGAGAACATCAGAATGTTATCTGCTTACTAGCCCCCCATCCCCCAAAACAACAACAACAAGGGAAAGCCAGATCCTGAATTCACCTTCACTACACTCTTTTATTTATTTTTTTTTGCAGCATGGATGGTGGTGAGCTTTTTAGTCGAATCCAGGACAGAGGAGATCAGGCCTTCACAGAGAGAGGTAATAAACTTATGTTGACTTGAAACACTCGGAGCATTTCTCACAATACTGCTGTATTTGATTACATGATTGCATAGCACACTGGTTCAGACATTCGACTGCATCCACACGCATATACACATTGCACACACTCACACTTGGTTCATGATTACGATCCACAACTTCATGCGACCCTTATCGGTGTCCTTTACATGTGCTGTTACTGGCACAGTGTTGAGATAAATGGCCATCGCGTTTTCTGGTTAATGCAACAATCAAAGTCACATTTAATCTGTTTAAGCTGGTTTTTTTCTCTTGTCAACAGAGGCATCTGACATCATGAAAAGCATAGGAGAGGCCATTCAGTTCCTGCATGCAATCAACATTGCACACAGAGACGTCAAGGTTTGTATCACAAATCATCACACCGCTTAATGGTTTTCCTTGCTTACTGAGAAATGAAAGCGTTCAGAGAAGAGTTTAAAGGATGACTTCCATAGCTGCAGTAACTAAAGACATAACTCTTGTTTTTTGTTTTTCCGGCCTGCTTCCCGAATCCTCCCTGCAGCCAGAGAATTTACTGTACTCCTCGAAGAGGCCCAATCCTCTGCTCAAACTCACAGATTTTGGCTTTGCCAAGGAGACCACTTCACACAACTCTTTAGCTACTCCATGCTACACACCCTACTATGTTGGTAAGGATCGGCTTCTGTGTGCACATTCGCTCCACTCAATCGTTTATTAATATACAGTTACAAAATGCTAGGTATTACATTTCTCCGCCCATTCATCCCTTCCGCTTTCCTTCCTTCCTTTCTGTCTGCAGCTCCAGAAGTTCTTGGCCCAGAGAAATATGACAAGTCATGTGACATGTGGTCATTGGGTGTCATTATGTATATCCTGTAAGTCCTTGCAATATCTCTGAACCCTTCATCACATAGGATTATCTTCTTCGTGCTGCGACTAATATTTTCATTTTAAACCACGAACAGGTTGTGTGGATACCCTCCTTTTTATTCTAACCACGGTCTAGCCATCTCTCCTGGGATGAAGAAGAGGATCAGGATGGGCCAATATGAGTTTCCAAACCCTGAATGGTCCGACGTATCGGAGGAAGGTCAGGCGACATACAGACTTACACTTTGTTTATTTAGAAAGGCACTGCAAGCTTTGGGTTTAGAGGGTTAATGTTAGGGATAACTGAAAACCTAATTATGTGAAGGATTATTTTGTTAATACGATAATGTATCTCCTGAAAAGTAATATGTTTATTCGTCTCGACGAAAAGAAAAACTTTCACATAAGTCAGAAATAACATTTCATGACCGTGTTCTGTTTTCCACAAAGCTCTTGCAGACATTCTTTAACAATCACCCAACCTAAATATGACAACCACGCCGTCCGTTTGCTCTTAACTCTCCGATCAAGAAATAGAAACTGAAACAGCTGTTTCACCTCCTGTTTGCAATCTGTCACATTCACTACACTTGAAAGTGATGTTTGGTTTCCTGAGTAATGCAAAACTTTTAGAAGGAAAAGAGAAGCTAACGTGACGATTTGGCGTGAACTAACCCAATACCTTCCTCTAGCAGAGGGGTGTGGGTATACAGCGTTAGAGTGCGGACCTCGGAGCTTCTAGGAAAGTCTGTGTGCTCGTTACCCCTGAAGGCAATTTAGTACGTTTTAAAGTGAAATGCTTCTCACACTTTGAGAGCAATAATACGAGGCTATATCTGTGAAGGTCCTTGTGATCCTGTTTTAGCCGCGGTGGAATGTAACCAAGTACATTTAGGCTCCACAGCTTAAGTACAATTTTGAGGTACTCGTACTTTACTTGAATATTTTAATTGTATGTAACTTTATACTTCTAGTCCACTACATCTCAGAGGGAAATATTGTACTTTTGACTTAACTGCGTTTATTTGACAATGTTAGTCACTAGTTACGCAGATTCTGAATATAAATCAAATAATTAACCATCATGTATCATTACATAGTATATAGCCTAATTCATTATTAAGTAGATGAAACTATCTTACCAATATTTCAATGAACACATAAATGCATCAATAATTATAGTCCAATGATAAAAGCCTACCTTAAATATACTACTTATAATGTTCCTGCATTATGGGTACTTGTACTTAAAGTATATTTTAATGCCAATACTTTTGTACTTTTACTGAAGGAACATTTTGACTGCAGTAGTTGAATTTGTAACAGTATTTTTATACTGCGCTCTAGAAAATAATTAAATCACTAACACAGTAGTATAAATATGAATGGTGATGATGCGGCAGAAAAGTTGTTTATTTTGGGAAACACTGTTATACGAAGGCGGATGTGTTGTACTGTAATGTGAACCAGCTCAATCCTAACTGTATTTGTCACAGTGGGATTTCTCAGTTCCGTTTTAGATGAAAGTAGAACAGGCATGGTGGCAAAGTCACAGTCCATAAAATAATTAGCTATCTGAATGTCACCAGAACATAATGTACAGCAGTCTGGGCTCTCGTATCTCTTCTCAAAGTCACATAACATCATTTAGAAAAATGGGATACTTTGAACCCTGCTTGCTTGAGTGTAAAATATATTATGCGTATATGTATAGCGATACAGTACATACAAGTTGCCAGTCAATCCTGATACGACAAAAGTAAATAACAGTAGTCTTGTTTGGCACCATCGTGCGAGGCCAGTGGCCTCTACCTGTGCTTTCGTAATGTTAGTCCATCTGTCAGCTTGTCATTTTACGCACTATTTGAAGAAGGGTTCCGATCAGAATTTTCAGGGCCAATGACAGATTCCTGAAAGCGATGTGAAGACTTTAATTTACTATGATGCATTATTTATTTATTTATTTAACTATTCTTAACATTGTACAGTAAATTGTCGGACGCGTTTTGCGTCATCTGATCGGCCTTTGAGATCAGACTGATTACGATCGGTGGCCGCTTGATCGCAGCGCTCCTGTTTTGTTAATTATTTTTATTCTGGTGTTTTAAAATACATTGTTGCTTCAGACTGGTCCGTCTTAATTCCTTTCTTTATTAATGATGTAAATAATACTTGTGTTTGCAGCAAAACAACTGATTAGGACCCTCCTCAAGACGGAGCCAACGCAAAGGATGACCATCACCGACTTCATGAATCATCCGTGGATCAATGTGAGCACGAACTCTACTCGCCATTTGTTCAGCTCCATTGCTCCGGCTGATCTCTGTCCACTGAAGTAAGATGCGTTTGTGTTTGTGTGTCTTTCTAAAGCAGTCGATGGAGGTTCCCCAGACTCCACTTCACACCAGCCGAGTGCTAAAGGAGGAGAAGGACGCATGGGAGGATGTCAAGGTTGGATGTCTATTTCTCTTTGTATCCGTTTTGCTCAAGTTCTTTAATATTAAATTGTTCTATGAATAAAAGAATCCATCCAATTATATCAGAAATGTGCCTATGATTGGTTTGTTAGTGTTTAGCAGGTGGTGTTTTATCTTTTCTGTCATTAACTATTTCCCTGAAGGAAGTGTCAGAGAATAGAAAGCAGCATCACACTGGACAGTAGTAGTCATGATCTGCTTCTCAAGCTTGAAGGCCGTGTGATGATATGAAGTTTATCCTAAAACCGCAGACAAAGCAAGCGGCCTAATGAGCTTCTTTTTTCGTCATGTTCCAGGAGGAAATGACCAGTGCCTTGGCAACAATGAGAGTCGACTACGAGCAAATCAAGATCAAGACCATCGAGGAATCGAGCAATCCACTGCTAACGAAAAGGAGGAAGAAAGCCAGCCACCCCACGCCGGACCCCCAGTCTTCTGCCCACTGAGAGTTGCACACACGCATGCACATACAGACACAGGTTGTAAAAAGGAAGCAATAATTTTGTCGACACGCGAGTCGCGTTGCATGGGTTTTCTCAGCGTTTTATTTTTCATGGCGAATGCTAATGTTTCGTAGGAGTGTTTGTTTTTATTACTCAACCATTTTAACAAAACCCACCGCTCTGCTCTGGCAGAGAGGACGTTTGATCTGTGTTTGTACACCAGTGAAGAGATTATGAATTCTAGAAAAGGAGAGCAGTGGGAATCGGTGAGATCTCCCTCCTCTCCTTTCCCTAATATCAGGTTGTGTACTCAGAGGGGCTTGAATGTTGGAAAAGGACATGAAGCCTTAGCGTTAGCAGTAGTTCTATCTTCAACCCGCCGCCCCTTTCTAGCTCTAGCCCCAAACCCGTGAATGTTAAATCAAATGGCTAAATCCCAAAAATAAAAGCAAGGGAAGTTTTCTTTTACGTACGTGCAAAGTAAGCGGATGTATTTTGAACTGACGAGTGGAATGTAAGGACTCTGTCCCTGATTTAGCTGGTAAAGTGGGAGTGTCTGTCAGGTTCAGTTTGTCTTAGTGAATGTCGAACAGAGGCCTATGCACTCACAAGGGCCATGTGCCATTCTGACAGAGCACCTCTCTGGTGGCCCCTCTCTCCTACCTTCATCTACGCTTGTGTTTCAGGTACATAGTTTAAAGGGCAGAGAAGGACGCAGAAACTGGCTCCACCTTTCTCCCGCATGTAGCTCAAAGGAGAGTAGGAGCCAACCGATACTGTATTTTTTCATGGATTTTATGAACATATTAGCATAGGCCTTACCGAGTGTTGCTAAAGCAGCAAATGACTTTTAACCCCTACCATTTGGTTCAGGGGTTTACCAATGTTATGCTTCCCAATTTGTAACATTGCCAGATTATATTTCAAATGAATGCTATGCAGATGTTTGTCAGCTTGAAGTACTGCGAGGACCTTTCCCCTTTAGTGTTGATTTCTGTTTGCAAATGTGTTGGAGAGATGTCGTTGATGTGTTTTTATGGAAGCAGTAGCATACTCTGTAGGGAATACATGGTTCAGACAGACTGGGCCATCTCTGAAAAGATCACGTAGTTACTGTTGGTTTGCACCAGTTCAGCTGTCGGGAGGCTCAGTGGGACTCATTTGTTCTCCCACATTTCTCCTCCACACTTCCTGGAGGATTGACAGGAAGTAGAACGTACTCCACAGCTGCTCCTCGTCTCTGAGCAGAAACTCTGACAACGCCACCAGCAAGCTGTCGTCACACTCGGACAGGATGTGTCTGTCGGCTTCTCTCCGATGTTCTTTTTAACGCAATAGGACGCTTCCAACTCACATGGGCTGATGGGAAATGATTGTTTCATTTTTGTCAGTTTCGTCCACTTCACTTTGTAAAATCACATCCACTTTACATGTCACATGGCACCTACACATTTCTCACTGTAAAAATGTTCATTGAATGTTTTTGACAATGTTCCTCCAGTTTGTTTTTGTTTCTTTTCGTCCCCCTCAACGCCTTTTTTTTTTTTTTTTTTTTTTTTTTGTAGTGGAAGCACAGAATTGTCCCATTGAGTCTGTTAAGCTCCACCTGCCGTACTTTTGTCTGCTTCAGCTTTGGATTAAAAAAAGACACAAACACAAACCTGCTCTCTTTTCTCCATTTCTGCATACAGAATAACAGCGTAAAATGGATGAATAACAAGGACGACGAGCAATTAGTTTTTAGAAATTATTACAATTTGTAATATTTCAAGCATTTAGCAAAGTTGTTTTCTGGTTACTATTTTCTCTCCAAAGCAGTCGTGTTCTTTGAACAGTTCAAACCGAGGTAATGACACATTTCAACTCTTTACGCACTCTTGATCACGAAGGCCAGCTTGTCTACTTGTTACATGTGCGTTGACTGTTCTGAGTTGTCGGCCCCGTTCATTATTTAAATAACTATCAAATGTAAATGTTTTATGACCTTTGCCTCAATATTTAGACGTTTTCTTCTCATTCACGTCTCTGTCTATGACTCAGGTTGTCAGGTCGGTTTGGGATTTGTGACTTTCACACACAGTGCACAGACTCAACTCATGACAAACCTGCTGGCATGAGTTACTCCTGGAATATACGCATTTGCATAGCAAAAAACCATGTGGTGTCATTGAGTCAACACGGTCTTTGCCAACACTGGGTTGTTTAGAGCAGCTTCCCGCTCATGCAGAAGCTGATTTCTCTTCAGGTGCAAGGCAGCCGAAGGCACTCGGCTTCCAGCTTTGAGTGTGACGAAACCCACAGTCATCTCTCGCTCTCTCAGGTAAGTGAGAAAGGGGGTAAATGGGTCTTCAGGGGAGTCCCTCATGACAGATAGTAACCCTCTGGAGATTCTACCACTTTACCCCGCCTACTGCAGACCTTATGACACCCACCCACCCTGCACTTGCCTAAATTAGGGCGGGCACCCTAAATCATTTTGTTTACTGACCTGTAGGAAACAATTTGTGGTATAAAACTCAGGTTGGATGTATATACTCTATGTAGCTTCTGAAGTAATCACTAAGCCTCAACAGTTGAACGTCAGAGGATTTCCACCAGTGAAGGAAAGTTGGATAACACATTCATTCGTTCACAAATATGAAAATAAGCGACACATAATTTTTAAAAAAAAAAAGTGAAAAGTGTCAGCGTGTTGCCCTTCAGTATGTCATTACTGTGTACACCCTTTTAAACATGAGGGGAAATGTAAAGGATGGAGACTTCTCAGCTGAGGTGGTTGGAGACTTCTTGTAGTTCTTTGAAGTGGCATTGCCATCCTGATTCTCACACACGCACACACATCCCCTCAGACACAGCAGAGCTGTTTGACCTGCCCACAGTGAGACTGCAAGAAACCCACAGCGAATCGAAGGTTTTCAGATGCGAAACGGAAAACTGTTTTGTAGTCTGTTTTAAATGTACAACAGTTGTCTTTCACGTGTGCTGGAAATCAGATTGTTTTTACTGTAAAGTACAGCTCTGGGTACATGTGGTTGCTTTGATTTTCTTTTTTGTCTCCTGTCGTCTTTTTTCGCTGATTATTTGAAAAATGTGCTTTTTTGAAACACGTTCTTCATTGTCTTCTAAAAAAATAGTCTCGTAGGCTACTTGACTCATCGAGTATGTGCACAGAAATTCATTTTGAACCTTTTATGATTCAAAATAATAAATCAGAACGGATGTCAGTCTTCTTTTTAATGCCACATGTATCTTGACTATTTCCAAACTGACTTTTTCGACCGCTCCTGAAACTTTCTTGAAACTGTTAAACGGACCCTAACCCACTTCACAACGTGACTGGTCAGCTGTGTGATGGTGAGACGAGAAGGATTGAATCTGTTCTTTTGAGCTCTTTTTAACTGAAGTTATTCACTTTTCATGTGAACAAAGGAGTTTATTCTTATGAATGCCCTCTGGGAGAGACTGTATAATAATATGTTGCCCTGTGCTCTTATTCAAATGTTATGTCTCTCTCCTCTACAGAATTATATATTTGTATTCATTATGAGCCAAACAATTCAGCAGCTCTTTGTCAGAAATAGAAAGGGTCGGTTTCTTTCTCTATTTCGTTACGTCGTTGATATTATATATATGTTGTGTTATTTGCCAATAAATATATTGATTTGTTTTGAGATATTGGGTATTGAGTTGAGGGAGCGTCAACAGAAAATATTAAGAATGAAAAGGGCTTTGCTTTTTTTTAATGAATTCAATTTGAGGATTTCGATTTATTGGAAATACTTGGGAGGGGCCCCTGTATTTGTGTACAGTTCCTGACAATGATTTCCATCTGGAGTCTTTTTAAGTATAGCTTAAGTTGATTTGGGATATCTTAACTGTTCAGAGGAAAGCGCTGAGCCATGACGGATGCATATTTTAGATATTGAAAATAACCATTTTTGACCGTTAAACATGATCATTCATAATGGTGGTTCTCCTTTTTCTTTTTTTTTTCTCACCCTGCCCCGAAACCATTGCTCTCTGTACAGACAAACCCAGTCATTACCAACAGACAGATATGATCTTACGTCTAACAGACGCTTCACAACGTAAACACTGGCTTACTGGAGTCTGAATCAACACCGTAAAAATGTTTCAAGGAGTGAACCTGCTATCAACACTGGTCAGAATAAAATGGATTAAATAAGTCTCTTGCAGACAATTGTTATGAATGATATCTTTGCATATGGTTGGCTACAGTCATTGCTGGAATGATACTATTCAGATCATCCCACGTTGACGAAGCAAGAGGCGGATGAAAATGTCATTAGAGTAGTTTCAATGCAGAGGCCTGAGTCATGTCGTGTGTGACTTCGCAGTCTGAGTAATGCCTGTACGTACATTCAAATGTTATTAAAGGGGCATGTGTCCGTGCCCTCTGTTTAGAAAATATTGTATTGCTCAGGTATGAATGTACTGTGGTACAGCTCATGGATTAGACCCTCTCTGAAAAAGCTGACATAGCACATAAAAAAAACGTTTATTTTACATGCAGGGCTGCTATTTCACCCTGTGTGCTACTTCTGTTTTATGATGTGTCTGACTGAGTAAGATTACTTGTGCATGCGTGCGCGTGTGTGTACATACGTACGTGCGTGCACGTGTGTGCGCCATGAGGGTGAGACTGGTTAGTTACAGTTTCGGTAAATTAAGATACAGCAGGGCTGCTGCTGGTAAGTGATGTATATGGGTCACGTTTGAGGTTAGTGAATCAGCCTTACACAGTTTACACTCAGGTTCCCCACATATAGATTGCAGAACTGCAGGATGTGATGTCGGTGCTCTTACAATTACCCACCCCTAATAAATGGCACACTACCAACTATCATCTTGTCAAACAAACATCAAAAGAGACATTCATTATCATCAAGTCATTTATTCATCGACAACAATGCAATATTAGTCATAAATATATCGATACATATTATATATGATAAAAAAAATAAATATCACAGTTTTGGTTGTAACTTCATATGTGTCGGACTCAATATGGTCTTAAAACAGAAACTTGTCCCCAGGACAAAAACGGAAGTCTCAGAATAAAAAAGACATCAGTTCAGCAGGCTGCAACAACATTTGGCAACACTCACACCAGTGAAAATAACTGATTGAATGCAAAAGAGTAAAGGAGTCCAAGGCCAAGGAGTTCCTGGGATGAACATGGTTCACATTTCGATTAGGGTCAGCAGGTCTTCAAACGATGGCCGGTCGGTTTCTGTGCCTATTAGAGGCCAGATATGTTTCAATGTAGTTAAACAGCAGATCCAGCTCACTCATGGCCTTGTATGGACCTTTACTCTCCATCTGTGGACAAACACACAGGTTTGTTTTTTTAAATTGTCAAAATACAGGAATGCACACACATGTGGTTTTTAAAATGAACACTTTTACAACTGAAGATGAAATGTCGACACTCACCTGTTTGTAAGTGAAGTTTAGATTGTTGATGTCAAACTGTTTCCTGCAGGAGAAGTAATTTCTCTAAAGGGGAACAATAGAAAGATGATGTTAGGGGCTATACATTAGACAGACATGTCCTGGATTCGACCCCCACCCACCAGATGCACAGAAAAGCATGCCATCCTTTCTTTCCCTTTTGCAAGAACTGGGTGATACACACTTATGCAAGCCAGTTGAAGAACCACTGGCTAATGAAATAGTTTGACCCGTCCTGTGAGCCGTGCTTCCCCTTTCGGTCACGATCAGACGTTTGACCGATGCTGGGAATATTTTGGCGGTTTTGGGATGTAGTCCAAACCAGTAAGGTGGTTTTGATGGGTTTGGCTGTGACATACTTGGACTAGACTTTTGTGACAAATAATCACGTGTAGACTCTTCCTGTCTGTAAATCATGCCGACAGGAACTTATACATGTAACTTTTCAGTAGCCTACACTGCGATAATAGAAACTACTTGTGATTTATGTAAGGTATGTTACATTTATAATGTTGGACTAAACACTTTAAACTTGGAAGTTAATTCTGCTCCTCACTACCTGTAGCCTACATCGGATCTTTCGGCAGCGCGCGCGCACTCGGCGCGTGTTTACATCTCATTCTCCTGTAGGAGTAGCACGTGTGCCAGCTACTCACACATTCTGTGACATCACGCTTGAGCTCGTCGAAGATCAGCTGTATAGACTCCATGTGCGGCTGTAAGTCCCTGGTGTCCTCCGTCACTCCGGACATGGCTGTCGGCAGAACCGTGCTCAGATAAAAGTCCAGTATGCTGTTCATGGCGTGGCAGGCGAACGGGCTCTGAAGGAGGGAGGAAAGCGCGAGCGCGGTTACGAGATGTCCGCGTGTTTACAGTGCTCGTCTTGTCGGTAATTTTAGTCTGTGTTTATTTTCTGATTATACTCGAGAAGCAGTGCATTTCTAGCATATAGTGAATGATCTTCGTGGAGAGTTCAAAAGGTAACTTACTTTAAACGAGTCCTCGACGCTCTTGTCCAGCAGCGCTGTGTCCAAGTCATCGTTTGCTTCCTGTAAAAAAACACAACAACGCTTGTGATCAGTGACAGTGTGAGCAGCAGCAGCAGCCGGAGAGGCAGACAGACGGAGGTGAGAAAGTGCAGCATCACCTGGAGAATGGCAGGACTACATGGGCGGCAGAGATCTACCCAAATGATGCTGCACTAACCTCAAAGGTACTTTCAGAGTAAATGTTGCGCTTTTACTCACAAAGAAATCTCTGATCTGTGAATAGTCCTCTCTGAGCTTCTTTAGCCGGACAGGGAAGGCCTCCACGAAACTACAGCACTTGTTGTTGCACATGGGACTGCACCAGGCACTGCTGAAGAACGACGAGAGAGCCAGGGCGGACAGGAGGAGGGACCAAGGAGTCATGCTGGTGGACAAGCTGATGGATCTTCTGGAGGCAGAGAAGAGAAGAGAAGAGCGGGCCCTCAGGAGTGAAGATGCTGCTGGCTCAATTGGACGTCTGTGCAGACTTCTGAGAGGTGCAATTGTCTCGGTATGATCTTCCTAAAGAGCTCAGAAGAGAGACGTGCATATATTCAGTGTCATCGCTTGCCTCAATTTATAGCCAAAATTGGGACAGACACCTAAAGGAGTGTCTATGACTGGAATGATGATGGGGGGGGGGGGGGGGGGTGTTCTCGGGGTTCTCAGAATCTTGCACTACGGGCTGCTCCTCCCATGTGATTGGCTGGTGCTATTAGATCTGGAAATCGGAAATAATTGACATAGCATGTATGTAATTTTGATATGACATTGTATTTTATTATTCATGTTTTTCATATTATTGTATTACAGACACACGTAGTGTGTGTAATTATGTTACATAACACATTGTGTTTCCATTTGACTATTTACAATAATGCCCCCATATTTATATACATTATATTAATCAAAATTATAATGGGTATGTAGGTGGAAAAAATAATGTTGAAAATTACAACAAATGTTAATCATATTATATTCACAAAAACACAGGAAATAAGTTCTGTCAGTAGGAAAGGATATTAAGTTGTGGTTTATGTTCGATGATGCTGTGGATTCCCTCTGTATGCAGACCTGCGTAATGAGACTGACAATAGTGAAGCCATGTGACATCTTTGCCTTTTGCTGAATGTGATGTCTTGGTATGTTTTCTCTTTGGTGAGGGTTTCATATATGTACTGTATATGTGTATATATGCATTATGTATTTATAAAAGGAGAAGTATTTTGGGACTCTGTCGGGCCAGCGTGGGGGTTTTCCCCCTTCAGTACTTTTTGTCTTGTATGGAATGCCCATTTATCCGTGACATTTGTCTCTTTGCCTGTGCAGTTTACAATTTGTGTGAGCCCATTTATGTTGGGCAACATTGGTATTTGCCGGGAAAATCAATTCTGGTGTTTGCCTCTGCATGATGAGGACTTCACAATCTGTGCAAATACACTTCAGGACAAATTTGTCACGGTGCAAGTTCAAATTTGTTTACCGTATGAAGCTTTTGACATAGACTGATATGGAAAAACAGGCACATATTATAATTAAAGGTTTGATTGATCCGTTTAGTATGGACAATTTTAAATACCTAATTAAAACAAATTAAAAAAAAAACACATTATCAATGCCGAAATAAAAACAATCAACTGTCCAATCATAGCTTGGGGAAATGTCCCTGGGCGGGATGTAGTGTCCTTAGAGTTGCTATTAACAAGATTGGGAGCCTTTCTACTGCCTCTCAAAGGCTCTCAACATGGTGACGGCCAAGCCAGGGCCTTACAGCTAATAGTGCTAACAGCGCAAACCATGGCAACAGTGCTAGCAGAGCTAACAGTGTTTACCTGAGGGGGAACCAAAGGGTGGGTGCTAAGCTTCTACGACGGCGGTCCATCGGTTGGGACAGTGTTATCGGTTGTAACCGCCTCATGAGAGCAGTGAAAATGCACGAAAATGCACGAAAAGTTTCTTGTCCATTGTGTTTTTAATCAAAAAGAAAATGATCCCTATACGTGCTGCTCTCAGCTGGACGACGCTGAAGTGCAATGCACTTCTTCACTATCTTTTCTCTTTTGTGATTAGATGTTAAAGTCACAATGAAATAGTCTTTTGTCAACTCTGAATTTGAAAAGATCTGACAGTTAAGTGAATGCATAACAAATAGTCCACCAGAAATGGTGTTTTAATTTAGTTTTTTAAGAAGGAAAAAGCAGCCTAAATATATGAAATGCAACAAAAAAAAAAAAGTCAGATGAATCAAACTTACTTTACATCCAGTACAGTTTCAAATATTTCCTTTATTTAACAAGGTAACGTCTCATTAAGACTAACTGGCCAAGTGGACAGCATTACAACCTCGATACCTCTGCCACCATTGGTGTACCAATGTGAATGGGTGAATGAGAGGCTAATTGTATAGCACTTTGTCTGGTGCTATATAAATGCATTTACCATACAGTAGTAAATACAAACAGCATAAACAGGCTAAGACAACTGTGACATGCTACAAAATGGCATACAAGTTACAAACAGGGAGATGGCGACGGTTTTTGACTGAGAGAAGGAAAAAAAACAGGAAGAAGTTGTCCAATTAGTTTTCAAAGAATTCTGTAAATTGCGTAATCCAAGTAACACCGGACAAGCAAAGTGCAATAATATGCAGAAAATTAGGTTATTGAACTTGCACAAACAAATGACACCAGAAAATGTGGCTTTAATACTCCTGGATTAATACAAAGATGTTATTCTGTAAATTTCTCAAAATATAAGAATGAGAACATTTTATTGAAATAATTAGTTGGATTGTCATCACATCAACATGCAATGTCTTCTTGTTCTTGATTCTTTCAAGCAGTAGATCTTGTATATTTAAATAAATGTACACAATTTGTATATACGTTAAGATAATGAGTCAGCAGTAAGCAGTTTATGGGAAACCCCTCTGACTGTGGCACTGACTGCGTGTGTGAGCATGCATCTCTGTATTTAGCCGTGTGATTTCACGACTTTTTGTGGTTGCAGTTGCATTTGAAATGCTTCTGCCCAGTCTTCTGGGATTTCAGTTGCAGCATTGTTTATGTGCATGTGAGAGCGATTTTGAGTCGGCTATTAAGTCATTTAGTTCTTTTTAAAAAAAAAATTTAAGTAACACATTTTTAGCTCTTAGTCAGATCGCTTCTTCCCTGCACACAACTCATAATTAAACCTGACATACAGATGTGACCAGAGAAACTGCTGATATGTCTCCCACAATCCCACAGGTTTTTAGACAGCTGTTCACAGAACTTGCATGTCATGAAAGTATGACTATTATGATGATTTGCGTAGCAATGTGTGAAGTATTACCAGTCTTGTCCATCATGACATATTTATCGGTAACGAGTTGTTTCCTAGTTTCACAAAAGGTGGTAGCAAACCACATTATTTTAGCAAAGTCTCTCCAGCTCTGCAATTATTTCTTGTTTTATCATTACCGCCAAGATGGAAAACGAGTAAACTGACAAATAAATGCGTGGGTCTTACTGTATGGCACTACTGCTTTCAAAGTATGTGGTTCAGAGAGTCTATGAGAATCAAGTTGGTGTCCAACTTTTCGATTTCTGTGTCTTGTTTTCTGATGTGGCAATATTACTGAAACTAATTTGATAAAAGTCTTAATCCTGTGGACTAGAAAACGTGTTGATCCATTGATGGCTTCATATCAGCAAGTTAATGTTCACTGTGCACTCACACCAGATGTAAGAAGTCAGCAACATTTCTTGCACTGCTTGTTCTGATCAAACCGCTTCCTTCAGTCGCCTCTGTGTCCCGTATGCAGTGTCTCCTCGAAATGAGGCAGAATCTGAATCAGTCAAATCTTATTTTACGTTGCATCACTTTGTCGATCACTGAGTAAGAGCCGGCAGAACGTTGTCTGCTCTGGAGATGATCAGGTGATGTGGTGAGGGTGTCTCTTTGTTCTCTCTTGTCTTGTCCACCTCTCAACTTAGTTTCTGATTTCGTCACTATCCAGTCCTCAGAATCCGCTGTCAGCAATACTGCAGCACATTACTTGAAACCTGAATGCTGATATCATATCCAGTTGATTCAGTCCCCTGTTGGAACATGAATCACAGTGGAACACATGATGCAATCCAACTGAAGTAATATATTGACAAAGATGTGATGCTATTAGCCGTTTGCATGAGCACCTTGACTGCAATTCCTTGCACTTTGCAGACTCGACGAGCTCCACGATGTAACTGTAGTTGTGTTTTTACATTTTCACCACCTTATGCGTCACATTTTCTTCATTTGTGCCTGCATAGTGTACTTGCGCCTTTAGAGGAAATCTATCTGTCTTTACAAATAGATTCACCACATTTCTCTTTCACTTTCACACCGGTCGTGTGTTTGACTGCGTATGTGTGCTTATGTGTGTGTGTGTAGCATTTAATTCTTCAGAGGTCTATGTCTGTTATTGTTTATGTCAAGCAGGTATTGTTATGCAAACATACATAATAGTACGTGTGTGCATGTGCTAGTGTTTTAGAGTTGTCTCAATAAGGCTACAACAAAAAGAGGAAACCAAGAGAAATGTATATGACTTGACCAGGGTGACAGCATCCTGTCCATCCGGTCACAAATTCACATTAATTGATGGGTGTGGTATAACTGCTAATATGTGGTGGGCAGATGGCCATCCTAACAGAATGGAAGAGGAAACACGGAGTTTCGTCTGTTTCCTGTGACTGACCTACAGAGACCGCTCTGGAGTTCACATGAATTCTTTAGTCATTTAGACTTCCTGCCCTCTGGTTGGCAAATCACCCACTTCACCCTTAAAATAAAGCCCACAATTGCAAACTTAAATATCTACTAAAAACACAACCATAGACGTTCTCAGAAACCTTATCACTTCCACTGAGCTGAGCGAGCAACATTAGATAAATGTATTGCTGTAACCTGAAACTAAAGTAGCCCTGACCTTTTGCTGATCAAGCATTTCTTTGAGCGGAGATGAAACTTAGAAATTCCCGCAGCACACAAAGTTCTGCTTGAAAAGCTGCTTGAAAAGTTCAGTTTGACCTGGATGTTATCAGAAATGTAAGATTAAATCAGCATAATCTTTCCATTTCAATCAGTGATTGATTCATTCCAGCGCGATGCTTCCAAACTTATGACACCTAATCCTCCATACTGTATTTATGCGCATTTGGGTGGAAGTGCGTAAGCACATGCGTGCATATGGCCATTCGTATCTGTACCTGTTAGGGTGTTAACCGCACTTATGTAAGCACTGCTCATGGTGACGGCTCATATTTTCCCTTGGTGTTCAAACATCTGAGTGCTGAATTAGTGAAAGTAACAAATAACACTGTTTCTCAATGCAATTTGAATGATGATTCACAGTTTCATTGATTTCTGTTCACTTTCATTGGGGTATCGATCTACTGATGTTCAGATGTGGAACAAGATGGGACCTGGTGGCTGTGCAAAGTGTACACAGAAGTGCAAAGAGGAGATATTACCCTTGTGATCGATCATCATCCAGCTGCTGCTGCTGCTGATGTTGGCTGTTTTACATCTGCTCACCTGTATTGGATAGAACACTGTGTCTTTACTGAAAACCACTAGAGGGTAATAATGCAAAGCATTCATCATGTCTAAAGCCCACTTTGTAGATCTGTCCAAGGCTTTTGCTACTGTTGATTATAATATATGATGTCTGGTAGTGTTCAGACTGTTGCTGATGATGGTTTCAAATCAAGTCCCCAGGTGGTTGTAGAAGGTGTCCCGCAAGGATTGCCAAGATGCTTAACAGCCTAAGTGAGTTGAAAGCCCCTCATACCACCTGTGGACAGGAGACAGAGGACTGTTTTCCAGCACTACCTCACTACTGGAATAAACTGTAAAACAAACTGAAGACCATTTTATGTGTGTATCTCTGTGTGTGTAATGACTTTGTGTCTAGTTGTGCCACTATACACACTGTATGTATTTTGTTCTAGCTATTTAACTTACTAACTAACTAACAGTGCCGACATAAAGGTTGTATGACACAAAGAAGGGAAATATTTGTATTGCTGTTAAACAGTGGAAGTTCAGTACTTATGTCTAATACATAGAAATATATAAACATTGAATTTGTGTTAATAAATGAATCGTATCAAATCATAAATATAAATATACCAATACATATTGCATAGAAAGAAAATAAGAATTGCACAGTGGCATTGGTTATTATTAATGTGGGAGTCATGCACTGTGAGGGTCCCGGGACAGAGGATGTCGCATGTGTACAGATTGTAAAGCCCTCTGAGGCAAATATGTGATTTTGGGCTATAAAAAATAAATTGAAGTGAAGTGAATGAACTGCAGGCACTGTGTCGTTGCTGAATTTCTGTCTGATCATGTGTGTTTATGATATATACAGTACTTTAGTATTCGAGCCAGCTTTAAAGTCATTTTAGAATGTGAGTAAATGTATTAGATTACAAAATAATATATAGAAAATAGCAACATGTAATTGAATGAAAAGCTATAGCTTGATTATTAATGATTTCCAGAAAACAATTTCCTTGGAAAACACATAAAAAAATATATATATTCATGTGATCTCTGAGGAGAATAATAACTCGGAGGACGCTTTGGACACCAAAACAAATCCCAATAGATGTGGTGACTATATTTGTGCCGGTCTTTTGTAATAGAATTTATTGATGATAAAATAAGATACTACCAACAAAAATGTTGGTGAATAGGACATCAAATGAGAATAAATGCTTAAAACCAATGAGATTATCATTATCAAAGTGAAATGAAATGCTCTGGGGTTTTTTCTCCTTAGCACCCTCTGCAGTCTACTGTGAGAATGTTTATTTAGAGTGAGTGATTACTCAAACTATACACCGACTACACACTATGCACAGACCTGAATACATTTATCATACATTTACACATGTACGTATGTATATAATTAAGAGGGCCCTTTGTGTTGAGTTTGCATGTTGTGCCTGTGACAGTGTGGGATTTCTCCGGGTTCTCCAGCTTCCTCCCACTGTCTGTCCACAGACATGCAGCTTGGGTTAATTGCGGACCATAAATGGCCCGTATAAGTGCGCGTGAATGGTTGTCTATGTTTCAGCCCTGTGATAGCCTGGCGACCTTCGCAGGGTGTAACCTTCTCTCACCCATTGTCAGCTGGGATTGGCTCCAGAGCCTGTTATGACTTATATAAATCAATTGAATTGATATAGCATGTCATAAAAAGTCAGAATACAGTATACCATAAAAATGACATAAGTATGCTGTAGATGAGTAAGACAATAAATAAATAATGTATTGTATGTAATAAAAAAGCCGTAAAAATGATATGTATGCTGCAAAATGTCATACAAAAGTATAGTATGCCTTAAAACTGTCATAAAGACGTCATAGTATAGAATGTCATGTAAAAGTCAAGAGTAAAAAAGCTACAGTATGTCGGAAAAAGTTATATTATAATATGTCGAAAAAGTGAAAAAAATGGTAAAGTATGTTGTCAAAATATATTTTAAAATGATCGTATTGTTATAAAGGTTATAGTATAGTATGTCAAAAATATTCATTGTATAATATGTTTTAAAATGCCATAAAAAAGTCATAGTTTATTATGTCGAAATAAGTTACTAAAAGTCATGTCTGTACATCGAAGAAAAAGGTCATAGTATAGTATGTCGAAAAAGGTAAAAAAAAAAAAGGTGTATAGTATAGTATTTCGGAAGAATAGCATAAAATATTTACAAACACATGATATTTTCATATCATACCCTTCTATGACTTGATTTTTTTCATCAAAATCATGCTGTATTGAAGAAGACAAACTCATGTTTACAATGTTTACTGAGGTAATGAATCAAATGAGAAGTACAGTCATTTTCTCAACAGACTTCCAAACAATCACACTTCTTTTTGCCACCGGCGGAGTCTCCCCCTGCTGGTCATTTGAAAGAATGCACGTTTAAGACACTTAGCCATCGGCTTCACTCTTCAGAAGCGGAGGTTGCCGCCTGTGCGGGACACATGTACCACGTGACACGCCCGTTGAAACAGTCACAGTTCACTAAGACAAGCACAAAAACTGCTTGGTAAGGTTCAGGAAAAACAACATGGTTAGGGCTCAAATAAGTACGTGAATCGTAAATTGGTCGTGTCACGCAGTAGAGTGGGCGTGTCGTGTAGTTTGTGAGACTGCAGAGAGAGCCTTCTCAAAGCATCCGTTCACGTGTCAATCAATCAATCAGACTTTATTTGTAACACAAAGTGCTTTGCACAGAACAACACATCTTTGTGTTGAAATGAAACACTCAAAGTCAATAGGTGGGAGTATTTTCTTTTTTATTAAAGTTTAAATTAAACCGCTCTTAAAATAAAAATAAATATAGCAATAAAACGATATCTTTAGTCTGCTTAATGACCTTACATTACAGTAGAAACACACATACAATAGCATAACACATTTCTATTGCTGATAAATATCAATACATATACATTTATGTCATGTTATCTATAAATATATTTTTAAAAAAAAACAGCCCACAAGTTGGTGGATAAATATATGATATTAAATTAATTCAAGTACAAAAAATGAGGAATGTAGGCTACAATGGCAGAGAAGGGAAATGAACAATCCCTCACTCTGCGTACAAGTAATGTCAGGTCAGGAGTTAACATCTTTGACGAGCTTGAGGACTCATCAACAGCAGGCACTTTGGGATTTTGCTGAGTTTCTGTCTGATCATGCGCTGAGTCCCTCCAGCCACCCCAGCACAGTGTCCAGTTCTCCCACGGCCTTCTGTGCAGCCTGGTTTATGTCTAGCTGCTCAATGGAAAGAAAAGGAGAAACGACAGAGAGAACAGTGGATTTAATGATGAGCAGAACTGTAACAACACTATTATATATATATATATGAAACTATTTTCTGTTTGAAAACTGTTTTCTTTTTTGTTTTTAATAGATTTTATAGAACTGTTTTGAAAAGAAACCTGCCAAAGTATTTGTTACCCCGTTGAGCTTCAAGAGTGCACTGTGTTACATGTTTAGTACCATACAGAACTAAATATTCATATTGATTTGTTTGGTTTCTTTATCTTTGCCACATCTATTAGCAAGTGATACATAATATATCTAAGATAACCGCAGACCATACTGAAAACCAACCAAGACGTCATTTGAAAAAGTGAATAAATTGCACCCTCTGCAGATAGCTGTGTGAATGTCTATGCCCAGTGAGATGTTATTCAGTAGCCTACCTTGTTAAACTCAGCATGCAGGGAGTCGATCTTATGCTGTGTGTCCTCTTCACATTGGCAGTGCTGCACAGAACGCACAATTATGAATACAACTTATTGCTATTTTTAATTAAAGCACTTTTTTTCCCATTGGAAAGAGTTATTGAACTTACACATTTATGTATATCTTTTCTGATGCTCACAAAAGCGTTGGCCAGAGCGCTGGAGCAGCGTTGATGCTGTGGCTGAGAAGAGGCATAGTTGCTGAACACTCTCTCAACGTAGAAACGTAGCACAAGACGCAGGAAACAGCACGTCTGACCATCCTGATAGAGACACACGAAGGTCAGATTACAGCAGCTACATACTCGTATACTGTTTCTAAAACTTCATCAGTCTAAGGGTTAGGATATACAAATATTCAAAAATCTGAAACAGGAAATTAGGATAGAAATCACACCAGCACTACATGGTGAAAAAGACTCACCTGAACATGCGTTATCAATGATTTGTCCAGAAGTTTCACTCCGATTGCACTGTCTCTTTCCATCTGGAATGCAGAGACCACAAAGAACAAATGAGAATATATCTCCACTTAGAGATGTGATAAACCGTGTTTGATCTTTTTCTTTGGTAAAGAGTTTGCCTGTGTCTGCTTGCTATGCTGGATCAGGCTGCTGCCTTTGTTGATTTCTATTATTCATATTTCTGTCTGTTGTGCTGAGAAAGTGTGTGCATTAAACTCACCGCCTCTGATCGTATGTCAGTGTAGTATTTCCGCAGTTCGTGCATGTGAACATTGACGGAGCAGCTGGCCAAGCTCAGGGTTCGGCTCTCCCCAAGTTCACTCAGACAGCTGAGCAGGAGGAGCAGGCAGAAAGAGCAGCCGAGCAGCATCTTCATCATTGTGGTTGTCTGGTGGGAGAGCTGACAGAAACATGTTGTTCGTTAAAATATCGCCAGATAAATTACTGGGAATTATATAGGTACAGATCATCTAGGGGTTACTTAAATTACTGACTATTCTGTTAAGGCAAGGCACGTTTATCACATAGCAGCATATCTTTGATCAATTAAGTCTATAAAACTTCAACAAATAGTAAAACCAAAAGCCCATCACAAGTTGTAGGTGATGTATTCCTAATTATTGTTTTGTCTTGTCTTGCTACTCAATTTATAAAAAAAAGAAATTACAAAATAGAGAAAAGCTTCTCATTTCAGGTTTCATTGCCCACCGCCATGACCCCAAACCAGCACCACTTGTGTTTAGACTCACCTGTGTGTGTGATACTCAGAGGAAGAGTCCTGGGAGAGATGTGCCTCTGTGTCTCCATCCTGCCTCCTTTTATAGTGGACTAAGGGAGATTTTTTACCAGGTACTGCACCACTTGCACAGACACATACACACTCATGCACCTGCACATGTACTTGCACACTAATTGTTTTACAGGAGGAGGAAGTATGCCGCAATTAGAGGAACTGATGTATCAACACCTGAATGGCAGAAAGGGAAAAGGAAAGATTGAAGATTTCCTCCTCCTTGATGTGCAGTGTGTTCATTGTAGAGAAACCACTTTGCTGAGGGTGATGTCATCATTTGTTGAGTCACTCATTCGATTCTTAGAGTGTCATCATTCCTCCGCATCACTAATTTATTCAGACGTGTTAAAAAGTACGCACTGCATCATTTGGCCAACGGCCAATTCAAATGTAATTATTGTTTTGGTGTGAACGACGGGTATGTTTTGCATTTGCTTTTGTGTTCTCATAGACCTCTGACCGATCACTATGTATGCTCTCAAATGTTATACGTCATACTGGAACTAAAACCTCCTCCAGCACATACCCTTACTCGTTCCCTCCTAGGAGCACTCTCACAGGCTGTGACTTCACTCCTGTCAGACAAACCCTGTTCGGAAACACCTACCGAACCTGCTCACCTGCTTACTAGGCCAGGTTAACTTTTGATGACAAGTGCACGGAAAGAATCATAAGCAAGGAAGTGCAATGGAAAACAGGAATAACCTGTGTTTATGGAAAACATACATATATAAAGATAATAGCAATATAAATAGGGAAGTGAAAAAGTTCCAGATTCCGTTCTAGGAGGTAGTAAAAATATTTGGCAAAACTTCCCAGGTCAGGAATGCTTGGTGCTTGCTAACCACTAGAGGTCCTCACAAAGCACTTTGAACATGGAACAAATTCTAATGATCCAATTCACAATTCTGTGGCACTGCTTCAACAGCTGCTGAATATATCATCGAAGATACTTCTTTTTATATGATACAGTTTTACTACTTTCATACAAAGTATGTTTTATATTTCTGAGATTGAGTCATAGTCTCTTTTACAGGAACCACATGTGACTGTCTTGAAAGAAACAGACTAACGCTGTAACTCAGAAGTGGACAAAGTAACAGTAACGCCTCGCAGTGCAGTGCAGTACAATAATCCTGCAAGTTATTTTGCGACCTCTCAGGAGGGGCTTCTTGTTGGTATCAGTTGAAACAAAGAATTCAAAAGATTGGGTTTACTAGAAGCTCAATCACATTGGATGAAGGCAGGGTACAACCTGGACAGGTCGCCAGACTATCGCAGGGCATTCCTCCATTTTGCAAACCTAATTTACCGAAAAATGACTGTAACATAATTTGTGTTGGTGTCCATTGATGCCTCAGAGGAGCATAAGGAGAGGGTGAGACAATCTCAAATAATCAAATGCAATCAAATGATCAAAGAAAAGAGTTTTATTTTCCATTATTTGTACAAAGCTTCTTTTTACAGAAGAATAATATACAGAGGACTAAGAATAAAAAGAATAAAATGACATTTTTACATGGAGTACCTTGAAAATCACAGGCACATTTGGGACAGTCTCAACTACATGGTAGTTATGTTTTAAACTGGTTCTTCTGACATCCACTGCAGGTCTGTTTGTTGTCCTTGGTGGCAGCTCTACTCTGGTCACATCTGCTAGTGAACATAACTACCCTCCATATGTGTAGCATGTCTGTCAATGTACCCGCATTTTCAGGCTTTACTCATTCTAGTTTTATTTTTGCACTGTGTTACTATAAACAAAACATGACTAAAATGTAACATCTGTCAGTTTTTTTAACATTTATTTGTGCCTCTTTCAATAACGCAGTTCCACAGTAGGCCTATGTACGGTTGGATATACCTTGTTTCTCACTGAGCATGCTTTGCCTTTATCTCAGTTTGCACACAGTGCACACTGTGTGTATTTGTGTGTGTATACTGTAAGTGTGTTGTTCGTGTGCATGCGTGCGTGCATAACCTCAGGCCTTTCGGCAGGGTTCTCCTAAATGACAATGGAGTAAAGGTGTCTGAAGCACATGATGACATCCAGAGGGATGGGAGGGCTCAGGTGATTTCCGTCCAAACGCAGGTACCTGACACAACAGAATATGTGCCAAACATGTCATCCCAATGACAGCTGCTTTGTAAAACTAACTTGTTCCTGACATCATTAGCTTGTTCTGATTTATTTCCTGTCAAAGGGTGACACTGCACCGGTTTTGTATTGTTGAGTGCCAAGTTGTGACATAATGTGACGTACCTTAGTTTAGGGACCAGACTGAGATCGCTCAGGTCGGCCTGCAGGCTGTATGGACAGATCTGTGTGCCATTGATGCCTGCCGGGAAAACACACAGTCATGAATGTGTAGTTCTCCAATGCTGGAAACGCCTCACATTTGGATTAACTTCTGAAGGATGATTTAAAACTTCTATTGACTCTGCACGCCTGAGGCAAGGCTTAGTGGCCCAGTCAGCCAAAAACGTATTCAGCTGTAGTGTAGACACAGAAATACTCTTAAAGGAGCTGAAGAAAAGCCGTTTTCTGGCTCAAATAGGAAGGTAAACATGAGCTATTCCAAGATATTAAGACACATTTTAATGAAGTAAATTTTGGTCCAGGTGTCTATCCCATTTCAAGATAATTTGACTAGCTCCCAAAAAAGTCTTGATCATCTGGATCAATTGAATTTTGTCACTATGTCGTCGTTATTATTATTAATAACAACAATTTTTTTAATCAACTACATTTACTTCACTTGTCGTCATTCTGACTGTAAACAATGTGTAGAAACAGTTCACAACAGTGTATCAGCTCATGATCATCATACATTCTTCATATTTCGACAGACAAAGCTATACAGAGTGCTTGTTTACTCTCCAAAAACAAAATGTTTACAAGTAGATATCAACTAATAATCAAATGAAGCTGCTCAAAATACTATCAAATGACTCAGCTTCAGGTAAGGTCAGGGCTCAATCTATATATGAAATAAATAAATGTTTAAGCAAATACAGAAGGTTGACGCTGCATTATTAGTGTTTTGGCCACTTGGTTACAGAAAAAGCTCAAAAAAGCGGCCCTATAAGCAAACACTTGTCTATTTACAATTCATCAGGCATCGAGTGACATTAGCATTCATTTGGAGTCGTGTTTCTGGCCACCTGAGAAATGTAAGTGCAATATTCAATACTCTCTTTTTAGCCCTGTTTTAGTCTCCACTAACGCCTTACAAAAATAACTGTGTCTTCAGTCTGCTAGATGTTCAACTTCATGGTAACTAACTTTCAGTCTTTGGTGAGGCACACAGTGTGCATTGTTTTTTTAAAAGCTCTTTTTGCTTGACAGGGTAAAAGAAGACACAAAGCTTCTTAGACCTGCAGAGTCCTGTAATAATTCTCTGTGGGTTCATCCTGGTAAGTGACGTCTTTCACATTACACACAATGATTAGTAAAGTGAAGTCATTTAAAATTACAGTTAGGTTTGATTAGGCCACATTAATACACTTGGTTTGGGGTTTATGGGGCAGTTCAAGACAACTCACTCATTTAAAAACAATTCCAGATGTGAAAATATTTGTTTGGCTTAAATTTGATGTCAATCAGAGCTTGATAAGTCTTCATGGTGTTTGTTTGATATGTTTCTTGTTGGAAAGATCTTGTAGAGTGAACAGAGTCATTGGAGTGAGATCACAATCAGAACAATATTGCCTTTGTTTGGTGCGGCCCCCACAGTGCTTTTCACTACCCGATTAGACTTCTTCTCAGGACTCTGTAGGATTGTGCAAACTGAGTTTGATTGACAACTCTTACACTTCTGTTAGTTTTGTTTCACCGGTTAAGGCAGCACACTCACTCCCTTATCAGTCTAGTTCAGGGGTTCCCAAACCTTTTGGGGCCAGGGATCCCTTACAGGCTAGAAGAGTTTCCAAGGATCGTAATCATAACACTTATTCAGCATATGCTTACTACTATTTGTACTCCGAGATGCCATTGGAACTATTTATATTCTAAAACGTTTCAACCTCAATACTTCAGACCTATTTCTTAGTGATAAACAGAAACACATTTGAATGTGAATCATTTTACAATAAGATGAGATAATCCTTTATTAGTCCAAAAGCATTACTTATATATATCTTTAAACAAACTTCAAATAATTGATCTTAAAAGCTTTTATGAAAATGAACAGCAGCAAGACTGGCATTATAAATCCAGATATTTAAACCTACCAGATGGAACTGCCGATTTTCCGATGAGCTGCTCGACCTCCTGAGACACAGCCATGAGGCTATCACATGCCTTGTATCCCATAGACATTGACAAACCTCTCACGAATATGTGAAGGTTCTTTTTACGGGATTCAGAGCGTTACTTTAGCAGCAAACTATTTACAACATAAATATATAATGTCTACCTGAACAGAGAATGAAGTTGCATTTCCTGAGATTACTTACTCTCGATGGCGTTGTGGTTTAGGTGCAGGTGCTCCAGATGACCGGTGAAGAGAGGAACAGAAGTAATCAGGTTGTGGGACAGTTGCAGGTCCAGCAGGGTGGTAATGTTGAACACATACTTAGGAAGTCCTTTATCACTCAGCTGGTTGTAGTTCAGCCTCACAAATGCCAGGTGTTTCAAGCCTTTGAAGTAGTCTCTGAACAACGATGAGAAGAACAACTGTAAGAATGTAATCCAACCAGC